AGTTTCACATGACCCTCCCTTTGTACTGTAAAAAAAATCTGCTCACCCTCCTCCCTCATCAAATGAACTCAAAAAGAAAGATTACCACCACAAATAACAATAACTGTAGCAATCCTGTGTTTATAAACATGGATACTGACTTGACCACTTCAGCATGGTTTTGTGACACAGTCGATGCCAGAAGCTTGAGGGTTTCGCCGACCAACACGGACGAGACAAATCTCCTTGCCTGTCTCATTACACTACAATCAGAGCCGGCTGCAGACAATGATTAGCTACTGGGAAATCAGATTTTCTACATTTTGACACCATATTTATCATTATATAAAATATATGCAACAATTTTCCACCAACAGGTTTCTGTGCCAATGCACCACACAACCAATAAGCAACACATAACTGCATAACGATTACTGACCTCGAGCGTTTATCATCACGGTTTGCATTTTCAACACCACAATCACATACTCTATCTCAACAAACAGAACATACATCCCTCCCTACTCAGTATCGAATGCTTGGCTTGACAATCTCTGAATGTCATTCAACTTTTTGGTGTTTTATAACAGATGACTCTTTCCATTCATCAAATGGCCAGTGCACAGTTTGGATGCTGGAATTATATTAGAGTGGAATGGATGAACGTGTGCAGGTAGCCTACAGAAGACTTTTGAAGTAGCCTAATCAGATTATTTGTGACTGGTTGTGTTCATGCCACACATAAAAAGGGAATACATTTTAAAAGTTCAATTACAAATATTTAGGCTATATTGAAGCATTAGGTTCTAGGTCAAGAAATAGTCGCTCGGATCAGAAAGGAGGCAAAACGTGTTAAGCTTTCCTGAATAACTGGGCCTGCTGGGAGCATAGGCCTATGTGGCTACACTACATAGGAGGACTTGGGAAAATGATGATTGGCAACAGACACCGCATCAGTATCAGAAGTAAAAATACAGCCAGACTGTCCTGTACTGCGCCTTTCTATATCTTATAATCAATTGAGTGTAGACCTACAACTGATCCAAATTGAATGAAACATTCAAATAACAGGGCTTTTGCACCATTATTCAAATCACATTTTCACTGAAGTTTACAGCCTGGAGTAGAATTGTACTCAATTGTACTCACTTTAAAACAATAATGCAAATATTTATTGCATTGTGGTGTTGTAGGCTAGTCTAGGTTGGATAATTGTATTGTCCTTAAGGCCATACACATTTAATTAACTGTATAACAGATTTATTTTGTTGAAAAGTAAGGCGAGCCAACGAAGAAAAGAAAACAAATCGTAATAAAAAAATACAAGTTGCACCCCTTGTAATAATAGTACCAAGACACCTTTGTAGGTAAGGCACATGCAAGCAGATGATGAAATGTAGCTATATGGATGAAATTATAGAGTTAAACCAAAAAATGGGGAATGTTAACCACCTAAAAAATGCACAACCCTCCCATGTGCCCAATAAAAAAAGATTGCACAACCCTCCCCAAAGCAAAAAAAAAAAAGTTTGACAACCCTCCCCTATTTTGGACCAGCCCCCTCCTACCCCCACCCCAGTAAATGTCGAACTGTTCCTTATGGCTTACAATGTTTTGTGTACTGAATAGGATAGTGGCCAATCCTCAAAAAGGGCTTTAGTTTTTGAGATACCCCTATCCGAGATATAACAAAGTACAACCATGTTTTTCCATATCTCTAAGGTCTCCCATATATGAAATGGATGGTTGTTTACAAATATTTTATTGCAAAAGTGGTTACATTTATAGATATTGTGACACACACCCCTTAAACTGTGCTGATTAATGCCTCATGTAACCCAATATTGCAAGCTCTGATATTGCTCAAATTTAGAATACAAGTACAATTGTCTGCCCTACATACACAAACAAAGGGGGGGGGGGCACAGTAGCTCATGTAACCCAATATTTTTGAAAGGAAGGTTGACGACATCCGATCCTCGTTTGTTAAGTCAAATGACACCGCTGGTCCTGCTCACACTGCCCTACCCTATGCTTTGACTTCTTTCTCCCCTCTCTCTCCAGATGAAATCTTGCGACTTGTGACGGCCGGCCGCCCAACAACCTGCCCGCTTGACCCTATCCCCTCCTCTCTTCTCCAGACCATTTCCGGAGACCTTCTCCCTTACCTCACCTCGCTCATCAACTCATCCTTGACCGCTGGCTATGTCCCTTCCGTCTACAAGAGAGCGAGAGTTGCACCCCTTCTCAAAAAACCTACACTCGATCCCTCCGATGTCAACAACTACAGACCAGTATCCCTTCTTTCTTTTCTCTCCAAAACTCTTGAGCGTGCCGTCTTCAGCCAACTCTCTTGCTATCTCTCTCAGAATGACCTTCTTGATCCAAACCAGTCAGGTTTCAAGACTGGTCATTCAACTGAGGCTGCTCTTCTCTGTGTCACGGAGGCTCTCCGCACTGCTAAAGCTAACTCTCTCTCCTCTGCTCTCGTCCTTCTAGACCTGTCTGCTGCCTTTGATACTGTGAACCATCAGATCCTCCTCTCCACCCTCTCCGAGTTGGGCATCTCCGGCGCGGCTCACTCTTGGATTGCGTCCTACCTGACAGGTCGCTCCTACCAGGTGGCGTGGCGAGAATCTGTCTTCGCACCACGTGCTCTCACCACTGGTGTCCCCCAGGGCTCAGTTCTAGGCCCTCTCCTATTCTCGCTATACACCAAGTCACTTAGCTCTGTCATATCCTCACATGGCTTCTCCTATCATTGCTATGCAGACGACACACAATTAATCTTCTCCTTTCCCCCTTCTGATAACCAGGTGGCGAATCGCATCTCTGCATGTCTGGCAGACATATCAGTGTGGATGACGGATCACCACCTCAAGCTGAACCTCGGCAAGACGGAGCTGCTCTTCCTCTCGGGGAAGGACTGCCCGTTCCATGATCTCGCCATCACGGTTGACAACTCCATTGTGTCCTCCTCCCAGAGTGCAAAGAGCCTTGGCGTGACCCTGGACAACACCCTGTCGTTCTCCGCTAACATCAAGGCGGTGACCCGATCCTGTAGGTTCATGCTCTACAACATTCACAGAGTACGACCCTGCCTTACACAGGAAGCGGCACAGGTCCTAATGCAGGCACTTGTCATCTCCTGTCTGGATTACTGCAACTCGCAGTAACTGTGCCATTGAACCCCTACAACCCATCCAGAACGCCGCAGCCCGTCTGGTGTTCAACCTTCCCAAGTTCTCTCACGTCACCCCGCTCCTCCGCACACTCCACTGGCTTCCAGTTGAAGCTCGCATCTGCTACAAGACCATGGTGCTTGCCTACGGAGCTGTGAGGGGAACGGCACCTCCGTACCTTCAGGCTCTGATCAGTCCCTACACCCAAACGAGGGCATTGAGTTCATCCACCTCTAGCCTGCTGGCCCCCCTACCTCTGCGGAAGCACAGTTCCCGCTCAGCCCAGTCAAAACTGTTCGCTGCTCTGGCACCCCAATGGTGGAACAAGCTCCCTCACGACGCCAGGACAGCGGAGTCACTCACCACCTTCCGGAGACACTTGAAACCCCACCTCTTTAAGGAATACCTGGGATAGGATAAAGTAATCCTTCTACCCCCCCTTACCTCACCCCCCAAAAAAATTAATAATAAATAATAATAATAATAATAATAATAATAGTAAAGTGGTTGTCCCACTGGCTATCATAAGGTGAATGCACCAATTTGTATGTCGCTCTGGATAAGAGCGTCTGCTAAATGACGAAAATGTAAATAGTCCTAGATATACCAAGAGTCTTATGAAACAATTTTAAAGACAGAATAACACAACACAAAATGAACAAGGGCTACTTATACGCAGGCTAAGGTGTTTGAGTGTAACCATGTTGGCCATATTGGATTCAGAATAAAATGTATTCACACCAGTCTGTTGTACACAATTTTGAAAAAAATGCCTCTCATTTACAAATGTCATATTTACAGGTGACTTAACATCCATCAAATGTCATAATGGCAGCCATATTTGATTTTGGACACCATATTGGATTGAGGCAAACTATGAAGATAATCTGTGATTGCCCCATTGATTTAACGGAAAACTCCACCCAAAAACTATATTTTGATATGTTTTGCATGTCAGCAATCAAGTTTTCAAGATATACAACATTCAAATTACATAAATACAGCCAGTATGATGCATTTTTCTGCACCATTGAGAGCATCCTGACTGGTTATATCACTGCCTGGTATGGCAACTGCTCGGCCTCCGACCGCAAGGCACTACAGAGGGTAGTGAATGTACGGCCCAGTACATCACTGGGGCCAAGCTTCCAGCCATCCAGGACCTCTATACCAGGCGGTGTCAGAGGAAGGCCCTAAAAATGGTATGAGGATATCCTACAGCTGCTTGTTTATGTATGTAGGGCAGACGGGTAACTCCTTGTATTCCAAATTTGAGCAATATCAGAGCTTGCGATATTGGGGTGCATGAGCTTATGTTGCCCATCCTCCTCCAGTAGGCATTATTCTGTACTTTTTTAGTTAAGGGGGTGTGTCTTAATAGCTATCAATTTAACCACTTTTGCAGTAAAATATTTCTACACAACCATCCATTTCACATATGGGAGAACTTAGAGATATGGAGAAACACGGTTGTATTTTGTTATACCGCCGGTAGGGGTATCAACATTTTGGAAGCCTTGCCACTAACCTATGTAGGGCCTATTAGTGTTCAGTTATATTGTTGCGTTTCAAGCCTGTTGGCTTGGCTGAAACAGACTGCCACAGTGTCCAATTTGGTCTCTTAGGAAAATAACCTTTGATGCAATCCTTTACTTTAGTCTATGATATTTGCTATAAACCTATAGAGACTTTTTTAATCTAGAAAATGTAACAAACGTGTATGTTGGTTGGTGTGCGTTTATCTGGGGTTTTAATAGCAGATTCCTGCCATGGACTTAGTAAGATATGGGACATGAATTGTGACATCTATCAAATGTTTTTCAATAGTGCAATAAATTCTTACTTTTCTTGGGTGATGTTTTCCTTTATAACGCCTAACGTTGCGTGGCTGTTGCCCTGTTGCAGCAGCCTACACGTAGCCAGGTGCCGCTGGTACTGGTCTTTCAAGCAGGCGTTTTCCGAACACAAGTCGGAAACTTGCAGCTCCAGCTCCTCTATCCTAGTCTTGTGCCTCTCCAGTAACTCCTGTTGGGTCTCGATAATGTTATTAAGCTCCTTCAGATACTCCGCAGCCCTGGTTGGGTTCTCGGTCGGGCTTTCCATCTCGCTCTGACTCCGGTTGTCCCCCGATCTCAGTTTTCTCGTAGCCCGTTTTCAACCTGCGTTGTGGCTACGCGCAGTTAAATTCCAACCCGATGTGCCTTTTTGCGCCTCGCCATTGTTTCCATGTGCTGGTTGAACGAGTGAGAATGAAGTGTGCCGACTGGTGCCCAGTGCAATGCGCGTTCCAGCAGCTACACCACAATAACTAATCTCCGAAAACCACTCCAGTTAGGGAAGAAAACACATTTAACCCTTCAAAGGACGTCGAACCAGCTGTCTCACATCCATCATACCCCTTTAGTTGGCCAATTTATTCGAAACATATACGAGACTATCTGAAATGAATCCCCTTTAGGCTACCGTTCCGAACCACTGTAGAATGTCTCTTATCATCCTCCAGTCCACGTTGTACCCGTGACTTTTCGTAAACAGACACTGATTGTCAAGTAGGCGGGGTTTTCAAGTTTTAAGAATCTGCTTACAGGGTGCAAAACTGCAGTTTAATAAAGTCCTATTCGCACGGGACTAGTATTACTAGAGAACGTTGGTTATGTATTTATTACCCCAGAATGTCTGTTATTCCAGAGGACGATTCGGACGGGATTAGTTTTTTCCAAAACTGTCCCCTGCATTTCTTTCTCTAAAAAAAAAATACATTGACAGTTATAACGGAAGCCTGGATGTTTTTTTCTATGCGTGAAGATATTTCAAAAAGTCCGGGCTTGCTTCCCAAATTTCTAAACCATACCAAACCATCTTTGGTATAGTGTCGCCATAATATTTGAATTGAGGAAGTGTGATCATAATCGTTTGGATATTTTAGCGATCGGCAGTGGAAGACGTCCTAAATGTCCCCCAGCCTTCAGATGTGAGCTAAACAGCGCACTCGATATGCGTTTTTGGACTATGAATGAGAAAGTAAACTTGTCATTTCCAAACGTTTAGCTCAGTTGTATGCTGCTTTGCATACTATTAACAACAAGGGTTGCATTAAATAGGCGCAAAAATGTTTTGATGCATTTGGCGATCTTCAATTCATCCGCACATAACATAAACAAACGCATTCACTGTGAAAGTTGATACATGTAGGCCCTTCATATATAGGCTATGCGCAACACTTAGTTCAATTTATCGAATCAGTTATTGGTTTCTTGCTCAAACTGCGAGCAACACCTGTCAAACTCAGATATTTCTCTCAAAACACAGGAATGCCGATTCGCATGTGACTAATATTATCAAGAGTTTGACAAAAAAACAGTCCGATTCTGGCTGGAATTGTTACTCTCCTGACATGTCAAAATAATAGCAGATTCGGACGGGACTAAAATTACAGATGTTGTTTTGTGCTCGTGCACATAATTACATAGCCCGACCTCCCCCAGTAAAACTAATCCGGGATTAATCCGGGAAGGGATTAGTTTTGCTGGGGGAGGATGTGTATTTTTAGTCCCGTCCGAATCTGCCATGGCAGTAATTTTGACATGGCTGGAGAGTAACAATTCCAGCCAGAATAACCTCTGATAATACTATGACCGTGCGAATCGACATCCCTGTGTTTTGAGAGAAATGTCTGAGTTTGACAGGTGTTGCTCGCGGTTTGCACAAGAAAACAATAACTGATTCGATAAATTGAACGAAGTGCTGCGCATAGCCTATATATGAAGGGCCTGTGTAGTCCATTAACTTTCACAGTGAATGCTTTTGTTTATACCTACGTTTTGTGCGAATGAATTGAACATCGCCAAATGCATTTTTTTTTTTAAAGATTGCGCCTATTTAACGCAACACTTGCTGTTAATAGATTCCAAAGCAGTATACAACTGAGCTAAACGTTTGGAAATGACAAATTCACTATCTCATCCATTGCCTAAAAACGCACATAAAGTTCAAGTGCGCTGTTTGGCTCACATCTGAAGGCTGGGGAGCATTTAGGACATCTTCTACTGCGGATCGCTAAAATATCCTAATGATTATGATCACACTTCCTCAATTCAAATATTATGGCGACACTATACCAAAGATTGTTTGGTATGGTTTAAAGTTGGGAACCAAACTCTAATTATCAGTGTAGCCTGTTATCACCTGGACTTGTTGAAATATCTTCACGCCTAGAAAAAAAACCGTCCAGGCTTCCATCACAACTCAGTTTATTGGGGGAAAAAATACAGGGGGCAGTTTGTAAAAAACGAATCCCGAATCGTCCTCTGGATAACAGACATTCTGGGGGTTATGATTACATAACCAACGTTCACTAAACACTAGTCCTGTGCAAATAGGGCTTTAGAGACATATGATGGGGGTGGACAGGGGGGACATGTCCCCCCAATGTTAGAAGCAGGTAAAAACAGGAAAGTCTCAAATAGTCGCCTGTCCCTTTTAATAGCTGGGCAATGGCACACATTTCAGCAAATAAACACCTGTTTCAAATAAGTGGCAGGTCTAAATTAATTGTTTACAAGGTTACCATGAATTACCATGGATGTTTTACGAGGTTTAATGTTTGATTTGTTACATTGAATAATTCAGCAATGACCTTTTTTTTTTATATATGGCAATCATTTGTTTTTATCTCCAGTAAGAAACTGCTAGCCATTGGTACCTAACGGCTGAGAATTGCTAGCTAACTGGCAAGCACAAAAACAGTCAACAACTTCTGGAGTACAGAACCCTAGAAATCTTCCGATTGCCCTCTAATGGCGAAAGTAAGAACTGCCGGAAATGCACAGTCAAAAAGGAGAATAATTATTGTCAAGGAAATTATTTTAAAACATTTAATAGAGGCATACTTAGACAAAAGAAACGTGACACAATGTGTAAATGATTAGTGCAGGAAATGAAGAAATTGATTAAAATGCTGGAAGTGAATTCTCAAATTAAACAATTAACTATGCAAATGCACAAAAGCTGTGTGCATTAAAGAAATAGATGCCTGGCTCAAATAGAAGCCTGTTTCTAATAAGTGCCTATTGTGTTCAGTGATTTAAGCAAATAAACGCCCAGGCTATTAATTGAAGGGTACACAAGGTGCAATTTCGAAATTTGGTTGTGCATCAGCAGTAAAACTCTTGTTATGTCTGTCACTAACCAGGTTTCCATCAAGCCTTTTTATGCGAATAAAGTACATTTCAGATAAAAAATGTCACTACAGGTCTGATGGAAACAGCAAATTTGTTGGTTAACTTTCCAAATGTCGACAAAACAAAATATGCTAGACAAGGTGGGATCTTTTTGTCTGTAAAATTAATTATGTGAGAAATGGCGGTGGAAATGCCTTTATGTGCAAATATTGATATAATAACCATAATATCGAAGTAAACTTGGTGTCACACGATGTGTTGTGTGGTCCTCCCACTACTCGGGAAACCATGCAGTTTATTAGGCTACAGATGAATAAGTTATGATTAACTTCACAGGGTGATGAAAGTGCAAGGTGATGAGCTTGATGCTCCTTTCCAATAAATATCGAGGGTCTTATTCTGGTGACATGATGATCAATGCTTGGCTGCCGTTTGACAAATAAAAATAATCTTGCTCTTTTGTCCATAATAATCTCAACATGTAGGCTAGGCTATAACCGCACTGTCTTTGTTGGCTAGAGCGAACGTGCCAAGACCAGAGTGGACACATTTACTATATAACGCAACCTTTTTAGTTACAAAACCATCAGTGGAGTTGCGATGGTAACCCATTTAACTTGTATTTTTTATTCGGTACATGGGAATTTAACCTCAAAAGTTATTTTTATGTGCATTACGTCATCAAACACAGTCTTTTATCTGCAACAAGTCAATTGGATGGAAATATCTCTGGAGGGAAAATGCACATATTGTTTTTATGCAGATTTTTTGAATATTCGTATGAAAATCTGTCGTCAATTGGATGGAAACCTAGCTACTGACAGTTACTCAGTTAGCCCATGTCAGCATTTTTTTTTTATTGGTAAGTTAGTCTAGCCAGCTATCTAAACTTGTAGTAATCATGGTCGAATTACAGACCGGAGGGGCCCCATTGATTTTGTTAGTCACTCTCACTCAGATATCATATTAAAAACTTCTATAATTTCTCTCCACCCTATGGCAAAATGTGTAGAATTGCAGGAAATTAGCTGTAAAACTGCACATTTTTCTCTCCGCCCCATAGCAAAATGAGTAGAATTGCATGACATTTTTTATAAAATTGCAAAATATTCTCTCCACCCCATGACAAAATGTGTAGAATTGCAGCAAATTTGGTTTAAAACTGCAACATTTTCTCTACGCCCCATGGATTTTTTTTTTGAATGAAATGAAATTTGTTATAAAATTGCAAAATCTTCTCTCCTTCCCATTGCGAAATGTTAAGTTGCTGGAAATTAAGTCTAACACTTAAATTGTTTCTCTCTACTGTCAAGAGTGGGCTGCAAAAATTGCTTTTTGCTCTCAATTTGCCCATCCCTCGTCTAGAGGGTGTATTGAATGTGTTAACTTCATGTAGGAGAGAGGCAGCCATGATGATATTTTATTTATTATAATTTTGTAGAGTGGTGATTGATTAATTTCAGTTTGACCTTTCATGCTTACTTTTTTAAAAAATTAAAACAGTTTTTAACTGTGTATGTTACTGGTCATTATTACAGTACAATAACTGTAGTTGAAAATATTACGTTCAGTTTCAAACCATACAGTGTTGGGCCAGTAACCGAAATGTTGCTGGTTCGAATACCTGAGACATCAGGTGAAAAATCTGTCGATGTGTCCTTGAGCAAAGCACTTAACCCTGATTTGGCATACTACTATGGCTGACTCTGTAAAACAACACATTTCACTGCACCTATCTGGTGTATGTGACAATAAAACACAAATTATATTAAGTGAGAAAAATACTAGGAAAGAAATCATACAGTAGCAGAGAAAGAGTACAAAATGGATGTTTAATTGAATATATCCACATCAACAGTCCCACTGGTATTCAGTACAGAATGACTGGCCATGGCCCTAATTCATGGCCACTGCAAGGCCGCC